GATACTTGCAGTGGCACAAATAAAAAGTTTGGGCAAAGTTTGCTATCAAATGAAAGGTCTGTACCTTGGCTGCAATTTTCTCTAAATAATGTGACCAATAAAAAAGATAAATTGTGATAAAAATAACGTGTAACATAAAAAATTGTTAATTTGTGATCGATAATTTGATAATTTGAAACTATCTAATAGGTTGTGCATTGTAATATTTGTGACTTGTGACAAATAAATAAATTGTTAATGTATAAATTTTTTATTTGTGGCCATATAATAATTTGTGTCATATAAAAATTTTGATTTGTGATTGAAAAATAATATGTGACTAACTAAATCGTTAATTTGTGACCAGATTGTATAGATTTGTGACTTTAATATATTTAATTACTAAAATCATAAATAAATTTTAATAAATGTATGATTTTTGAGATTTGAAACCTTTATTCTTATTTTTCGAATGTTTGATATTTAACGTTTTACTTATGAATTTTTCCGATAATGAATATATTCCTAGGGGAAAAGTTCAAAAATCAAGTGTCAAGTATGACATAATTCAATTATCAGGTGTCAAGTTTAAAAATGCAGAACTCGGGTATTGACTAATTAATTAAATATATTTATTATTTAAATATAATAAGATCACAGTTACACAATTAATGATCACAGATGATTTTATTGGTCACATTATGTCAAGGTCACAAATCAAAAATTCTACAAGTTACAGATTGTTTCGTTGGTCACAGATAAAAAAAATTTATAAGTCACAATTTATCTATGATCACATATTTACAAATTTATTGGTCACAAATTATTTTTTAGTCACATATTATCGAATTTTAAGGCCACAGTGAAATAGTCATAAATTTTATGGTCACAGTTTATCCCACCCTACCCCCTCTTGACACCACACACCACCACCGCCACTTGCAACCACCCTTGCCCTATGACCGTCCCCAAAACCACAACACCACCACTTGCACCACCACCATCACCAACACCATCATCATCGTCAACCGTCACCGCCAGCATCTTGTTCAAACTTCAAACAACCACCACTATCACCACTACCACCAACAACCACCCACCGCACCTAACCAGATCTGTAGCGCCATGGAGAAATGTTGTCGGTGCACACTGCCATCACCATGCCATCACCGTCGTGAACACCCACCCACCCGCACAGTTTGCACCTGAATTTTGAATTGTATTATTTAAATCCCTGCTTTTGTGTAATTTCCTCTATTCCTAGGATAGTAGGCACCGCCCCAAGCCCATTTAAATTTTAGTGGGAAAAAAATACGAAAAAAAATCGTTTATGCCCTATTACAAAAAGGGATTTCATATTTACTACGTAGTGGTAATATAATAAAAAATACTATGTGATATGTTAATTATCTTTTAAAATACTAACTTCCAAAATTAGATCCCAATACACATTTTGTAACTAAAATTATTTGAATTCAGCAAACTTTACGATTTTCATTTAATGCCTCTTCTAAAATGAGAGAGGAATTCAAAATTAAGATGTGGGAGATACAATCATCCGTGAGAGAAAATCATACTGGGAATCCTCTTCTTTTGAGTATGTCGACCAAGTTACATATTTTTCGGCTGTTGCTGAAATACGTTGCAGATTTTACACAATATATTTTGGGGTTTTCTTCCAAACTAACTCTGGAATTTACAATGCAATATTACGAATTTGTTTTATACAATGCAATTGGAGACAAATTCAATAAGAAAACGTTCACCCTTTCCAGATTTTTATGTGTCTATATAATCTTGTGTTGATGAATCAAATTCAATTACAAGTCTCTAGTGAAGTTATAGAAAACTGACATGATTTCATGAATTTTATTTTATTATTATTATTATTATTATTATTATTTTTTTTTTTTGAAAAAAAGATGATTGTGTATTAGCGTGTTTGAAACAATTTGAGGCAAAGAAGACTTGATAATCAACTGATATTTGTGGTGTGTCCCTGTGTCCGCAATATGTGAAACTTGGAAGAAAGGGTGGGGAATTTCATCTTCTCAAATATTGATTTTGAGACTACATATGAAAGTATTATAATTCTAAATGACTGCATCTCTCATAAGGTGATGTGTCCTTAGTTGTAATATAACTTATAATATAAGATAGATATCACTGACTATTGCAGCTTCACTTGTACAAAACTGCTGCATACTGTGATTTATTGTGTTGCACATTTTGTTTTAAATCAATATTACTTGTAACAAAAGAATTACACAGGCCAAGTATTTTCTTGGTTTCGACTTTCGACTTGCTGTAATAGTATACATGTGTTGGGACCGATTGACCAATGATGCAGGAATTGAGATTTAATGAATTCCACTTGTTATAATTGAAGTATTGAACAAGATCACAAATAACCCAAGAACAAGATTAAAGTAAGTAAAAGAAAAATTGGCAGAAGGAACGATATTTTATTAATTCATTATGAAAGGAGAGTACAATACAGTAAAAGACTCCCATAAAACTAACAGAGCAGCCTTGTATTTATATTATAAAATCTAGCCCTAAAAGAGTCCCAAAAAAGGTAAGAAATTTAATGCAATTTAGACTCCTATTTGAATCACACTTCTAACAATCTCCACCTTGACTCAAATTCCGGTGCAACGAACGAAGCTCCAAAATTTCTCCACCTTGAGAAATGATCTGTCTGTATCAGAATAACCAAACTCCTCAACACAGTAACCAAACTCTCCACGAAAACATGTTCCTCCGCCCGGCGTCCACACGCGACACCCGAACCCAAACCTGGGTTCCCAAAATTCCTCCTGGAATTAACAATCACTGGACAGGGTCGAAGCACACCCTGTAACACAAACCACACCAAATGCATAATCAGAAGGTCCCTTGCCAATATTGTCACCTTCAATGATTTTTAAAGCATTACAGACATCTTCAAAGCTATACCTACGCTCCATGAGTCCATTGGCATTACAAGAACACAGTGTACCCGCTAAAATTGGTGGCAAAGCGGAATCACCAAAACTCCCTTGAGCAAAGTTCTTAATTGACCCAGAGCCAAACCCGAGAGGTATTGTACCAAATTGAATGTCCACCACGGTACTGAACTTGTCCAAATGTCTCTGAACTGGTTCTGCGCTCCCCTGCAAGATGTACAACTGGGATTTCCTCCGTCCCTCCAGTACAACCCGGACACTTCTTCGAACCTTCAAGACTCCACCTCCACCAGAAAGTTTGTACCCTTTTTCATCTAAGGTACTCAGTGATATGAGATTCTTTGTCAAGTCTAAAACATCATGAACCTAATCAAGTGTCCTCACTATTCCATCCTGTAGCCTCAATCTGACCCGACCGACTCCTGCAACCCGACAAGATTGGTTGTTTCCCATGACAACTCCACCTTACTTCACCGTCTCATATGTTTGAAACAAAGCCCTATTGGGACACATATGATACGAACAAGCAGAATCCAGAATCCACTCCTCAGGTTTGGATTTCCCATCAGATACAGCCAACATCACATCTCCATCATCACAAAAATTTTCAGCAATATTAGTTTCGTTCGAATTACTTGATTACCCCGCATGATTTGCATGTAAATCACCTTTACCTTATAACTTGTCGCAATCTTTCTTGATGTGTCCTTTCCTCTTGCAGTAATAACAATACACATTGCTGTACCTCACCTTCGATCTACCCCTCCGTCGATCACCATGAGTAACAAGAGCATCCCCACTCCTCGATATAGGATCTCCAACCAACAGCTCCATCTTCTCCTTTGAGAACAGGGCGTCGTATACCTCCTCAATGGATAACGTGTCACGACTATACAGAATAGTATCACGAAATGACGAAAAAGAATTGGGTAGCGAACACAACATGACCAAGGCTAGATCCTCTTCATCATATTTTATCTCCAACAATCACCTTGAACACAGCAAGGTGGTCCTGCAGTGACCCTCCTTTCGCCATGCGATGAAAATACAACTTCTGCTTTAGAGTCAGTTTGCTCCTCAAACTCTTTGTCATGCACAACTGCTCCAGCTTGAGCCACAAAGCAGCCGCTGTCTTCTCCTTCAAAACATCTTGCAGCAAATTGTTGGATAAATGAAGTTGGATTTGCGCTAAAGCCTTCCGATCCTTCCGTTGTTTCTCCTCCATATACAAGTTTGCTGGCATCCTATCAAAACCCAGCAAAGCATCATCAAGATTCGTCTGCGTCAACACAGCTCTCACCTTTACTTGCCACAGCGAAAAATCTTGTATTGCGATCCAATAGCGAAATTTCATACTTTAACGAATTCATCTCTAAAAAATCTCAATCAAATTAGGAAGAACTTGCAACCTGCAACACCCAAAACTGAAAACTACCAAACGTGTAAGGGGCAAAATAGTCCAGAACCACAATTTTGTCCAAAACTGAAATTGGACACCCCCACACAGTCCGTCTCATTGTCCGGAGAAAACTGCCTGAAGACACCATCGCCAGAAACCGTCGCACGCGTCGCCACTCTCCTCGCCGGAGTTCCACCGCCGGCGACCGGTCGAAAACGCGTCGATGACTTGTGACCCTTTCTGGACCGTCTCTGCCTGCCGAGTCCACTGGTGGTGTTCGTTTCTCCAAACTCTTTTTGGTTTGACCAAAAAATGCAAAAATAGATCCGACAGAAAATCGAAAAATTGAACAGATTCGTTTTCTGATTTTCTGGTAATTGTCAGACGATTTTTCAATCAGTTGCAGGCCAAAAATCCACCAACAACCCCGCTCTGATACCACTTGTTGGGACCAATTGACCAATGATGCAGGAATTGAGATTTAATGAATTTCACTTGTTGTAATTGAAGTATTGAAGAAGATCACAAATAACCCAAAAATAAGATTAAAGTAAGTAAAAGAAAAATTGGCAGAAGGAACGATGTTTTAT